TTCTCTCTCTCTCTGCTGACAAGTGCGCGTGGCGGCTGCTGTTGTTGTTGTTGACTGTACATGCTCATCTCTGCCTCGCTCTCTCGCTCACCTCTCCCTCTCCCCACCCACCCACGCAGGTGTGCAAATGCTGTGATGACGATGAAGGCGCCGCAGGGTCAGATCGGCGCACGCCCACCGTCAATCCGTCGGCGGGATCCTTCTAGAAGAGACTGCCGCCGCTCGCTCCTCGTATGGGGAAAACACGTTCAACACACGCGATCGGTGCCAGTCTATGGACGATTCACCGTGCGCTGTAGGATTTTTGTGGCTGTGCGTGTCGTTGCAACGTTCAATTGTTTCAGGAGGATGTATGGAGCAAGGAGCTAAATATAACTATATTAGCTATATATATATATAACTCTCTCTCTCTCTATATATATATATATTTAGCTCCTTGGTATGGAGTAGCTGGAAAGTCGGCGACTTTCGTGCTGTGTTGTTTAGTGTTGTCGCGGAAATTTAAAAATAACGATGTTTACTGGCGTGTGATGCTGATGTTTAGAATCTTCAATGAGTAACACAGATTTATTAATTTTGACTGACGACTGTTGCATCTCGTAAGTAATAGGTGCTATGGGCTAATATAGGGCACAAGCACGCACGCACGCACGCAATCAAGCACGCACAAAAGCACGCACGCACTCACCAACTCGATACTTATCTTCTGTGACATTTCTTAAAACCCTAGATGTGTAAATATGACAATTCATTGAGGGGGTACATTTTTCTTGGAGATAATGTACTGTCTTTTTACCTCTGAAGTGCGTGGCACAGTATGGTGTGGGCCTAGACAACATAGCAAAAACACTTGGCATCCACATAATAATAAAATAATCTCAAACTATTTACTCCTGGTATTATGCAGATTTAAGTTAATTATGATCTGACCCCACCCCGTTCCTCCCCTTTCCCCCTTTCCCTCTTTCCCCATATTGTTTGTAGGCGTTGTGCCCTATATGACCTTGTAACACTTTGGCTCTACTGCACATGTGCATATAAATACATGTAGATATAACGACACATCTGTGGCTTATAAAGAGATGATGTTATGAACCTTGACCAGACATCGCTGCTATTAACAAATATGTGGCATCAACCAGCGCGTTACTTTTAATATATGTATGTACGTGAATGGCTTGCCGGTTCGTTGATGCGTGCATGCGTGCGTGTGTAAACCTGTCGTGCGTACACACTCTGGGCTTAAACCCTCTTAGTTTCAATGCAGTTAAACAAAAAATATTTCAAATCATGACGCAACGTGCAACGCGCGTTCGGTCTCTCTCTCTCTCTCTCGCAAGTTTAGCAGAGATAGGTCTGTTCCTTGTACTGTTGTAGCAATGTTAATGCTAATGTTAATGTGGCCATTCTTTGAACAGAATGGTAAAGTGTGACAGCTTTTCGTTGCTATAGTTTTTTGGCGTGGATGCAGCAACCCAACCACTGGTTTTTCTAAGCATCTACCCATGATAGTTCTATAGATATTGTGTGATTTAAGGAACTATGAGACTAAATTTATGGACTATATCTTTTTGATATTTTGTCTCTGATCGTTACAGGTGATCTCTTCAGCAGTGGTTTTATTTTTAACGGGTGTAACATTGTACAAATTTAATTATCGTGTTAAGTTGAATGTAGTGTACAATCATTCGGTCCAGCTCTGATATCTTTATAGAAATCGTAAAAATCACTAATAACTAATTGTGGACGCAACACTTCACCACCTTAAAATGTATAGTGGCTGGTGGCTGGTTAGATACAATAATGTAACCCAAACCCAGGATAGGGGTTACCTATCTTGGGTTTGGGTTACATTATTGTATCTAGTGGCTGGTGAGTGCTTGTCTATTCCACGAGAATTAATCCAGTCTTTGATTATTCATTGAAATATTGTAACAACATATGGCGTTACAATATTTTGCGTTGTTTTTAATATTGTAATGATGTACATAATAATGTATGTGTGTCTATTGATGTCATTTATTTATACATACCGATATATGTCGAAATTTGTTGACATGCGTCTGTTTGAGGCTTTGTGTTTGTTTGTTTGTTTATTTAATTCGGTTGTTTATTGCCACATCCTATGGTCTGGCGTGTTTACTGGCCGGACATTGACCCATGATTCTGCCGGCAAGTTGGCTACAAGCGGCCAGTGACGTAGCTCGTAAAATCAAGCAGGGCTCGCTACCTTTGTATACGTAGTATATATATTTATATACTATATATATATATATATATGTATGTATATATATATAACTATAGTAGCCGGTTACTATACTTAGCCCTCTCGTAGACGTATTCGTTGGTGTCACTGTACGTACCGCCTGCACACACGCACCTGAACACATACAGGCTGTTCAGTGGAGCTAGCATCCACGCACGCACGCTGCGTGGCATTTCAGCCGACTACTGAAATCTCATTAGCCATAAGTCGGAGCAGTTAATAAACGCATTACTTTTCGAGTGACGCCATTTCTATTGGCACGTAAACAAGCACTTTGCTGATCATCAACGGTCGTCATTCGCGTGATGTGTTGTTGTTGTTGTTGTTGTTGTTGTTGTTGTTGTTGTTGTTGTTGTGTACGCTAAACGCGCTCTCATTAACACGGCCATCGTCGTACGCAAGCACGCACGCATGCACGCACATACAAACGCGCCCGTATACATGCACGCACGCACGCACGCACGCACGCACACGATCACCTGCATTCGTACGAACACAATGATTATCGGGGGATGGGTGAGGGTTGTAGTTTCGCTGTAAATGGCGGTCCATCGTGTGTGCGTGTGCAGCAGACGCGGCGGGAGATCTAGAACCGATAACGCTTATTAACGGCGAGTAACCGTTATTAAATATTTATCTCGCTAATTAGATATTTATTAAAGGGATATTTATCCCCTCGCTAAAGGGATATTTATTAAAGGGATATTTATCCCCTCGCTAAAGGGATATTTATTTTTCTTTCGCGTTCCATCGCGTCCGTTGGTATATTGGAGAAGAAGAAATCCGAGGCGTATGTCGTACAAGATCGCTCGGGAGTTCGCACGGGTCCTGGAAATTTAAAATTTCGCACGGGAAATTCATAAAATTTCAAAGTAACATGTCACGCTTGAGAGGTCTCTCTGGCTGTACATGTGTTGTTTGAGAGGCGATATAAATTTGTTTTAGGTGTATAGGAACTCTGATACGTGTGTGCATCACTTGTCTGTTTGTGACGTCATCGAACTAACGTTGCATGTATACATTTACGTCATATAGTTACGGTGTAAGCGGTGTGGGATGAGGTGCCGGGTTGGCTAAGACTGTAAACTTCAAAATTCTAGTCAGTGCAGAATTGCGAATGTTTATTTGTATACGTATACCCCGATGTATGTTTTTCGCGTGGACGTAGTGGATGTTTTGGCCGCACTGGGCCAGCTGATTCGAGCATGTCCGGGAATTATTGAATATCAATGTATGTTGATGTCTTGTACAGGATGTCTATGGGAACGTCATACTGTCAAAGTGTTCTGTTAAAACTGCAAAAAAAACTGCAGTTAAAAGTGTGGCAGTTTAAACTGCCGCAAGAACCTGTCACTGTATTGATGCCAGTAGGGGGCGCCCTTGTTCGATATGAGGCCATTTGACCAGGGCCGGATTTAGACATGGTAAGGCCCTAAGCTATGGTAAGCGGTAGAGGCCATATTAGCAATTGTTAACAGAGAATAAGACATTTTTTGAATAATTCAGTGGCAGTGACCATATCAGAGGTGCCGACTAACGAAACAAACAAACGCGCACTCTAAGCTTGCGGTTACTGGCCGTTGTCGACAGTCACACATGTGGAGTGAACGTTTCCATTTACCAAGGGTATGGCTACTGTTCGTATATTCTCTGCACCTCCTGGTGTGATAAGAGCAGAGAGATCCTCCTTCCCCGCATACCACCAGCAGGATAATGGCTTGTCGTGAGGCTGTAATATATGGCTTCTGATAATGAAAATCTGTACGCGCGTACGTATTCGTAATCTAATAGGGCTGTTCAGCCAAGTTAATGGGATGATGGGGATCGCCGGAATATTATATTAGGGGGGGAACGGGTATTTTCGGGACGCGGGATTGGCCATTTTAATTACCTGGGAACTGGGAAATGTCAGATAAATTTTCCGTGATTCGGGAACAGAAGTCGATCGGGACGTGGGAAAGACCCTCTAAAATTGTCTGGGATCTGGGGAAATTGTGTCAATTCGTCGGGGTATTATTATTTTTTTTTATTAATTATGCCCAGATAAATAATAGTATGTAAATATTAGTATTTGTGTAGTGTTTGAAAACCTAAAATACTGAATTTCCTGAAACATGTCTACATAATTTCCTTGGAACTGGGAATTGGGATTTTATTTTGCTGGGAACTGAGATATGGTGTTTTTTTGCTGGGAAAGTGGGAATGTACCCCCCCCCCCCGTTCCCCCCTCATATATATATATATGTGTGTGTGCGTGCGTGCCTAGTTCTGAGCCGCGACAACCCCCAACACTCTAACTGTACATACCAACCTTTGCTATTTGTCTCATCCGAAAAATGGACGCAACCGTTTCCTTTTACAAACGAGACGCAACGTACGGTTTCGCGTAATTTCCCGTGTTGTAGACATTGTATTTTCTGCCGCTACTTCCTATTAAATCACGTAGTCTTGGCGTCGACTCCCTCCTGTATTTAAAAAGTCATTCGTTTGTTGGATAGATAGATACTTCAAAAATCGTATTAAAGCCGTCTTGGGATCGTCAACTGTATGTGATTAATACAACCCCCTAATCAAATCAAATGCGTGTATTTGCATGCTGGTGTGTTCGCCCGGGAGCCCAACTTAAATTTTCTATATGAGTACAAACGAGCAGGTGCATTTCCAATCTACCCATGTGTAATATATATGTATGTGTTGCAGTGCAATACAGAGTGTTATTGTGAATTTGAATGTGTAATTATACATATATATTATACATATACGTGATACTTACATAATTGGTGTGTTGTATGATTTAGCATATATAATCAATACAGAATAATTACGCTGTCAAATAGAATTGCTGGAGTAGGTAGACCATTACTACAGCTAAGTAATTATACGTATGTGCCCTGCCTCAGTATCAGCAGCAGCAGCAACAGCGAGAGGCTCCCTTTTACTAAATGCTTCATCTAGTAAGTAATTGCTATCTTGATGAATACTTCTCGTGAAACCAGTAAAGGTCAACTGCTAGGCAGAAGAGGAAATGATGTGTGACATTGTTAATGACCAATTTCGTTCACGGAGACTTGTGTTCCAAACTGTACACAGCGCTCTTAACACACACAGGTACGAACACGCGCGCTCACACGCACACACCGACACAGACACGCACGCACGCACGCACGCGCAAGCACACGCAAACACACGATCCTCCGACACATCCAACAGAACGTGAAAGACAATACGAACTCGGAAGTTTTACAGATTTAACAAATACACATTTAATAAAAATTGAAGAAGATTCCCATGCACTTGCCTTCAATTATTATGGATCAACTGAAATAAACAATGATACGTGCACGTGTGGTCACGCGAAGCACAGAAATAACTAAGCAGCGTGTGAGAGCTAAAATATTACATGAAATAAACGAATTTATTGCCGTACACACACATATATAGCTCAGTGTCTTGTCAATTAACCAAATTGATATATGCTATGCACCTTCGATGCTCTCATTAATGGTAAGCCAACGGTCTAGTGAAAAGAATCCCTCTTTAAGCACGCGGTCTCCGCGTCAATCATCCTCGTTGCAAGAATGCCAACATGATTAGGAACACATTCTGTTCCGAAGCTTACGTGAAATCGACTGCTGGGATATTGAACATGAGCAATTGAACAAGCGCGCGCATGCGAACATGACTACGTCAATATACTTCTGATATGACCAAGAGTAAGATAATATAGGTCCTATATTATAGATATATTATAAGATAATATAGATCCTATATTATCTTACTCCTGATATGATCAAGAGTAAAACAGAAGTACAGAAGTACACACGTATTAATAGCCCTTGATATGATCAGGAGTCTATCAATATACTATTGATAGACTCCTGATATGATCCGTATTGACTGCAGTCGCACACGTCCAGAAACTTGCTCGTCAATCATTATGATCAGCACCTCAGCATCACACAATGACACGTATATGAGTAAATACCATATATGACTGCACGCGGACTTTCATATAATGTAAACAGCAGTGGTATGTATGGTATGTGTGTATACATCGTGTTAATTACCTACTACTTACGTGCAATATGCAGTATATGTAATACATCTGTATATTACTACTTGTATGTATGTATATATATATATATATATATATATATATCAGAAGTAGATAATTTATATACATATATCTATATATATATAATTTATAAATATATATATATAGTTATGTGCATTCAGCAGAGGTTTTCTTCTAATTTAAAAACCATGAAAAACACCAACCACACCCGTTACAATGTTAACCGATACAAACTGCACCCAACGACTTTGTCGATGAATGCAATATCATACCGGCACATTGCACGCCAGCCAAAATGCAATAACGCAAATTCTATAACGCTATATGTAGCCACTATAACTGATATTTCAGCAGACAGAGATCTGTGTTCGTCGTTCCCGGTTCCGCTACGTTGCTTACACACAACTACAACTCGCTACAACTTTTTGTCATCAGCTCACTCATGAAATACACCAACGCTGGCAAAAACGCATACGCCTAAATTTTACTCGCCAGCAGAGCAAATAACAAACGAGTCCAAGCCAAGCAATATTTACATATGGCTATACTGGGGTAAATGCCTTAATGGAGCAATCCTTTCCGTCTAACTAATATGCTATTCTACTTAGAAACCCTTTCGTGTAAACCCACGCACAGAAACATCCCTAACGCATTAGCGTTCTCTCTTGCATGTGACTATTCAATAACACGCCATTGGGCAACGTACGGCACGAATTGTACATATTGTACAGTTCAGCTACGGGACTGACTCTCTACACCGACATTACAGCCCAACACGGAACGTCCAGCCTACGTGCCCTGTTGGTAAACGGAAGAACTTGCGAGGCTTGGCTGCAAAGCTGCATATAAGGTAAGCTGTCACCACGTACCACGCTGCACTCTCACGTGTATTAGCTGCTGACATCGCACACATTTGACATGCACACTGACATCCCTGCCACTGTCTACCGCGGTGCTCTTCGTGGCATGTGTAATCAGTCGGTGCATAACCACCCAGCCATGGGGACTGGCCAATAATTATTTCACATTTAACAAAGGCATTAGAATACGCCGCGGCGTTTACCCGCGGTGGTGTGTAGAGATGCCTGCTCCTCTCTCATCCTCTCTCGTTCGTCTCGGTCTCTCTCTCTCTCTCTCTTCTCTCTCTCTCTCTCTCGTCTCTCTCCCTCTCTCCGCTCTCGTCTCCTCTCGCCCGCTCTCGGCTCTCCTCTCTCTCCCTCTCTCCTCTCTCCCTCTCTCCTCTCTCTCTCTCTCGCTCTCGCTCTCTCTCTCTCTCTCGCTCTTCTCGCTCCTCTCTCTCTCTCTCTGCTCACTCTCTCGTCCTACCTCCCCTTCGCTCTCCTCCTGCTCGCGGTCTTCTCTCTCTCTCTCTCGCTCTCTCCTCTCTCTCTCTCCTCTCTCTCTCCTCTCTCTCCTCTCTGCGCTCACTCTCTCTCATCGTCTCCGCCTAGCTCCCCTTCCTCTCTGCTCTCTCTCTCAGCTCACTCTCTCTCCTAGCACGGTCCCCCGCAAAGGGGAGAAAGGGAACCTGGAGGTACTCTCTCGCTCCTCTCGTCTTCTCTCTCTCTCTCTGTCTCTCGTCTCTATCTCTAGATCATATGTCGACAATACTAATACAATCCGCTAAGCCTAACATACGGACTGCCCCCGCTATCAAATTCTGACCTAGCTATAGTCGTACACAACAGTATTGGGGATAGTTCGAATGGTGAATCATACCACTTTGGTGCTGCTTACAGCGTGTGCGATTACAAATTGCCAGCGCATTCACAACCAATGCCATAACGTAAAAAGTAACATACACGTCGAAGGCGTTCTAACGCCCGATAGGTTTGTTTGCCTGATGGACGACGAAATAATAGCAAGCTGAAATCAAAGTAGAGTAGCAATCAAATCCATCCTGTTCCTACCCCATGCGGGAGTAATACTGCTTGTTTCCATTATTTTCATCTGTAATTAGCACAAGATGCCTACACGGCATTCGGCTCAAATGTGAAAACAACAGCCAAGCTGTTACCTTTGTCTGTACTCGGGCCCTCATCCCACACCCGTTCCTGCCATCAGCCGGTTGTGTCGTTAATTCGCCAAAGTATTTACAATTTTAGACGATGGCAGCATTATTAATGATGATACCGCTGCTGTGCCAAGCAAAAGCCAAAGGAAGAGCTTCGCTACGATCGCGTGCATGTTTAGGTGCAATGCTAGTTAGCGGGTTGGAGACTTCCCACACTCAGCTTAACGAGTTTTTGGAATTGGAACGAAGATTAGAAATAAATAAACACACTCGACATGTTATGCAACGGCCATAGTTACCGTCTCTGACAACCCGTCTGCACGGAACACACGCGATTCCCTACACGATAACCAACCGCACCACCAGACACGAAAACAGATAACCATGCGCTATATGTCATGAGAAACGTCTCGTGTACTGCTTACAGAGCATGGGGGAAACTTTATTAATGCTAGCTACAGATCATCACCTGCTGCACTTTGAAAGGAGGCTGAACTCTCTACTCTTCTGTACTTAGATATCAACGCAGATGCGCACGTGCTGGTGAACTCGGGGGCGCAAGGCCGCAGCGGACTCTGCAGCCAATCGTACCTCAGCTGCTGACAGACGACGCGATCGCTGCCCATTATTCTCATTGTACCGCGATTTAATGTTAAATGTAAATTGTAATTGTAAGTTTACACGTCCCCGTGATGCACGCCGCTCACGCTGGCACGCGCGCGGTCTCGCTCGTGTCCGGCCGCCCAGCTGCTGTTGACTGAGTGGCTGCGAGCTGTTGTTGTTTGCTGTGCCTGCCGTGTAGCGAGCAAGAATGCTGCTGTAGATCTTGATTCGGCAGGCCCGAGCCCGGTGCACGGTTGAGTATCTGACGATGTCAGCCTCGCCAGCAGCAGCAGCGCCTCAGTCCCCCGTCAATTGCTAGGCGGAACGACGAAGAACATGACGTCATGCTATCAGACTCGATATCGCGATATCCGATAATTGGCTTAGTCGCATTAGAAGCACACCAACGCAGAGGAACCTTCAAATTCATATGGTTCTATATATTATTTATTTTTTTTCAATAAAACGTTGGTATTTGAGGCACGCAACCGCTCCTTAACATGCTGAAGTTTCGCAGGAACAATCAGACCTTCAAGGCTGTTCAGCGACTAGGTACCCAGAGTCACCCAATCTTCAAGAAATCAAATTCATATTAGTAAGCCACACTTAGCGGCTCGTCCA